AGCTGCGTCTATGTCTATGATGTATTCATGAGGAAAGCCTCCCTCTGCAGTTAACCCGATGTGCCAGGAGAGGTGGTGCAGTCCTGTAGTCCCAGTTAGTTGAGAAGTTGAGGCTGGAGAGCTGTAAGTTCAAGACCAGCCCAGAACACTTAGTGAGACTGTTCCAGTATAAAAGAGAAAGAAGAAGAAGAAAAAAAAAGGATATAGCTCAGTGGTATAGTGCTTACCTACTATGTGTGAGGCTGACCCTAGGTTTCAGTGTTTTCACACTTATTTTTATGTGTATGAATGTTTTGCCTGCATGATGTCGGTGTCTGAGGAGACCAGAAGAGGGTGTAGGAGCCTCTGGAACTGCAGTTAGCAATGGTTGTTAGCCACCGTGTGGGTGCTGGGATCTGAACCTGAGTCCTCTGTAAGAACAGCCAGTGTTCTTAACCATTGAGGCATTTCTCCATCTTAAGACCCTAGCTTTAATCTGTAGTAGTGGCCCTCCAAATGTTCAAAGAAAAGGTGACTAGGAGGAAGCTTGTAAAGTAACTTGCAGAATGGCCTCTGGCAGTTCTCGATGACTAGTCTAACCTTTACCCTAACTAAGTGCCATGAACTCCATGTCTGGAGAAGGTGGGCTCCTTATGTCACAGAGAGTGGTGTCACAGGTGGGCATGGCAATCCAGGTAGCCAGAGTGTGGGTTTACAATGGGGGGGTGTGGTACTGGGGTCCCCAGAGACATCTGGGTTTCCATCTTACTCAGAATGTTAGAGTGGGTACTACAGAAATTAAGGTCTGAGGCATTAATGTCCTAGCCAGGCCCTCCTGTCCTCACTGGCACAACTGTTTCATTTTATTCTTTTAATTAATGTTTTTGAGTTTTGTATGCATGCATGAGTGCAGGCATGCATGTACTATGGTGTGCACATGGAGGTCTGAGAACAGCTCTTGGGAGTTTGTTCTTGCCTTCCACCTTAGGCACAGTCTCTTGTTTCTGCTGCTGCTCTGTGTCCTCAGGGTTAGCTAGTCTAGGAATTTCTGGGCATTTTTACTGTCTGCCTTTCATCTCACTGTAGGAGTGAGTGCTGGAGTTCCAGATGTGCACTACCACATTTTACATGTGTTCGGAGATCAAACTTAGGTTGTTGGGCTTTAAAAAAAAAACAATTTTTGCCAGGTGTGGTGGAGCACACCTTTAATCCCAGCATTTGGGAGACAGAGGCAGGCGGATCTCTGTGAGATCAAGGCCAGCCTGGTCTACATAGTTCCAGGGCTG